GTCATGATTTGAAGGTGAACTCGTTTGAGTTATAAGAACATATCCAAACCCTGAAATAACACTTCGAACAATAAGCCAGTGTCAGCAGTATCAGAAATTAACTTTCCCATAAGGGGCAACTGATTTTCAGTTTTTTATTTATTTATTTATTTTATTTTTTAAGCGGATGCATATCAGTCGTAAAATAATCATATGCATCTCGTGGCGTATATTCCAAGCATTCTAAAGGTATACTGAGGGTTTGGTGAGAAACAAACCGAAATGGCAAGCTATTATATTTTATGAAAATCTTGCGTTGCAGTGCGACGCCGCACAAGTGCATATCCTTTTGAGAAATCATATCAATTATAATCAATTTGAATAAAACACAAGACTACATTACAAAAAAAAAACTCTAACAGTAGGCTATTTAATATCTGTTGTTCTCAGTTATGACTGTTTGTTCACATAAATTGATAGTGGTCAATACATTCTCCCCGTGCTGCAGTGCGTCGCAGCTTTTCCACACATATTTTAATAGGTGGATAACTATAATAAAACAGGCATGCCTAGGGCCAAAAGGCTCTGCTTCAGTATGGTTTGTGTCAAGCCATTCATTAATCTGGCTGTTTGATGAAGAGATAAAATGTAGTAGAAATAAACATGTTAAGAATCAATAGAAGCGGAGGACTATTATTAAGGTTTTTTTTAAGACTATTATTATGTTGCAATGTTTGGTTGACCAATTAGCAGAGAGGGGCGTTTCATTCCCGCCCACATGTAGAGATCGAATATTCAAGTTGTTTGTTCGTTTTCTATCCCTGAATGTAAAAACGAAAAATTAAGCCGGATTCTTGATTTTTCGTTTTGTTTGAATAATTGAAAAACGAAATATGTGCCGTTTTTCATTTTTCAGATTTCAATATTAAAACAAAAATTGATTGGACGGAAGATACCCTGATTACGGATTTACACGGATCATTCATTCATTTTTTAATTTAAAATTGAAAACAGAAACATGAGAAAACGGCACCATTTTAGTTTTTTTTTTAAAGAATAAACAAGAAATCGCCTTGATTTTCTGTTTTTACATTCAAGGGTAGAAAATGGATAAACAGTTTGAATGTTCGATTTCCACGAAACGCCCCTTTCCACTGATTAGTCAAGCAAGCAGCAAATGGTGCCGTCACCATGTCGTCTTCAGTTTTGAGCAACAAAATAAGAGTCCTCCGCTGTTAAAGCGTTTATTGCAACTCCTGCATTCATCTCCCTCTCATCAAACAACCAGACTAACAAATGGCTTGACACAAACCATACGGGGGCAGCGCCTAGACAGGGCTTACTTCTGTGTAGGCAAAGATTATATATGGCAAATATTAGGTGCTTATTGCAGAAATATGTATGTACCTCAGATCTGCAGCCACATTACCCTTTTAGTCTATTTCTTTGGTGCAGCACACATTTTATTTAGCTGTCCAGTTATCAAAATCTGTGTGGCAAAGCTGCGTGACATTTACATTATAGTGTAGCACAGACCAGTATCGGTTTTAGTGTGAATACAGAGCTATCTTAACGTTTTGATGATTATTTCCAGGTTTTTTTTCATAGAGAAGTTTATATGATACTGTCATTATCTGACGGCATGTTACACATGTATATTATACATCCTATTTTTATAGAAAAGGTCATTGTTCTAACTTTATAAAATATGTCGGTAACACTTTACATTAAGGTTCCCTTTATAAAGGGTTTATAAAGGTGTTAATAAATGACTAATAACTCACTTACAAATGCATTATAAATGTATGAGTAAAAGGGTGATTTTAATGCAATACCTGCCAAATAGTGAGCCATTTTTAACGCACATGTTATAAATGCTTAACATATATATTTATAAATACTTATTATACTCAAAACCAGATTCCTGATTTATTTCATGATGCAGCAAAAAATTATTATTATAGCAAGACTGAACGGTGTTGTATTTATGGTTTTCTCATTTATATCTCATGAATCGTGTCACTTTTCTTACAATGTTTCTTACCAGAATCTACACTGTACCTTACCCATGATTCTCCCCAAAAGTTCATGATGCCTATCCACAGCAATGATTAGAAACCGATATATTTTGTTTATCAAGATGAAATTATCATTTTGATTTTTATTTTGGGGAAAAAATAATAAAAGCACACCCATGACTTGATGAGATATTAATATTGAACATTTTAATTCCAATATTACATGTGAATCTTAATGTAATAAGCCATTTATTAATGATTTATAAACATTAAGAACTTGTGAAAGTGAACCTTAATGTAAAGTGAACATCTGTGAACTATTTATTAATGAGTTATAAACTTTAATAATGTCTAAAAATGAACCTTAATGTAAAGTGAACATCTGTGAATCAGTTGTTGAGTTATAAATGTTCATAACCTGCAAAAGTGAACCTTAATGTAACGTGATCACCTGTGAACCATTTATTAATGATCTATAAACGTTATTAACCTGCAAAAGTGAACCTTAATGTAAAGTGAACACCTGTGAACCATTTATTAATGAATTATAAATGTTAGTAACCTATGAAAGCGAACCTTAAAAGTGAACCATTTATTAATGAGTTATTGACATCATTAACCTGTGAAAGTGAACTTTAAAGTAAAGTGGACACACTAAACATTTATTAATTATTAATGTACACACAGAAGGTTTTTTTTTCTTGGTTAAATGTATTTTATTATTGATGCACTATATTAGTAAACAAAACTACTTAAATATTTATTAATGAGCTATAAATGTTAATAACCTGCAAAAGTAAACTTTCATGTATAGTGAACATCTGTGAACCATTTATTAATGAGCTATAAATGTTAATAACCTGCAAAAGTGAACCTTAATGTAAAGTGAACACCTGTGAACCATTTATTAATGAATTATAAACGTTAGAAACCTGTGAAAGCGAACCTTAAAAGTGAACACCTGTGAACCATTTATTAATGAGTTATGGACATCATTACCCTGTGAAAGTGAACTTTAAAGTAAAGTGGACACACTAATCATTTATTAATTATTAATGCACAAAGAGAAAGTTTTTTTTCTTGGTTAAATGTATTTTATTATTGATGCACTATTTCAGTAAACAAAACTACTT